ATGGTTTTACTCACAGGCAACTCACTCGCTCTTGTGGCCCTTAGGTAGTCGGAGATGTGCGGGAGTGGCATCCCCAATCGCCATTGTGTCTGGTGTGTCTAGCTGTTTGTGGGAGGAGCTTCTGTGAGGTCCTTGCTTAGCTGCCCGGAAGGCTGCCCAGAGGACCCCAACAAGCGCAATTCCTCTGGGCAGCCTGAAACTATCTAAAAATTAAAACGCTGGTATCGGCGCTATGTATCGGGGCATTTTCACAAGTACAAGTACTTGTGAAAATGCTCTGTATCAGACCGGGGACATCCCTATGTTTTTACCTAACTGCTCAATGTCTACCCTGTAGAAGTGAATAAAAGTCGCTTCTCGCGTTCCCTGTAGATATATCCAGTTACTTATTTTGGTCTGGTGTATACTGTTCTATATAAAAAAAAAAAAAAATACTTCCACTACGCAAAGTTTGTATATTGTTCTATATAAAAAAAAAAAAAAATACTCCAACTACGAAAAGTGTTATACTGCACTAAATTTGAATCCGTCCTCTATATTATTGCATTTGTTAGCTTTAAAACCACTATAAAGAAAAGTAATGTTGTAAAAAAAAATGTATTATTTATAACCATGTTTTCCATTTAAAAGAGGAACTTTGGCTCCCTTTCCATTTTTTTTTGGGGGGGGGGAGTTTTGACCCATCTTATCTTTTGTGCATTGTCCTTAATTCACATATTCACCCCTGAATATTCAGCCCTGCGAATCCAGCATTATCCTGCTGCGATCAACTGTTTATGTGACACAAAGCTGGTCCGTGCCACCATCTTGGTGCTCCTTAGTCAACTGCCGCTTTCAGATTCAGACAGCCAGCCTCCATTGATGTGCGGAGCTCTGCCCATGGGCTGCTCTATGTCCCTACTCCTGCAGCCTCGTGGGATATAGGTTGGGGATATCATCCCAGGAGCATGGATGTGGGGGGCAGAGCCCGGGAAAAGAAAAACAATGGTGGACAAACAGGAAAAGAAATGCCATTCCTTTTAAAGTAGCGGATGGAGGGGAGGGTTGAAGTGGGTTAATGTAAAATTGGAGTGAATTCCCGCTTTAATTCTCGCCCGTCCACAAAACTGGGGGCTAAACGATGTCCCTTTTTACTGTCTCGAAAATTTAAGCGGTATGGAATGGCAAAACTTTCATACTAAACCTGAAGTGCTGCATTTCACAGGAGATATTAATCAGCTGTTATGTAATAATGGCATCCCTCAGTAAACAAAGTGTCCAAGTCAGTGTGTATGTGTATCTATATATTCACAAGCTGAAAATATGAAAACAAATGTATATAACATGGCAGACATGAGGGCAATAAATCTGCCTGTTTACTTTCCGTCCCAAGGTTAATGGTTTCTTCTATATTCATACCATATGCCCTTACGGCTATAGATCTCTCTATTTGCAGTGGTGACCTTGTAGCACACATTTATTTGTTTATTACAGGTTTTTATATAGCGCCGACAATTTACGCATTGCTTTACATAGTTGCACATTCACATCAGTCCCTGCACTCAAGGAGCTTACAATCTAAGGTGCCTATCTCACATACATACATACGAGGGCCAATTCAGACAGCACATTACCACAGACTTGGCGAAAAGTTTATTTTTCACACTAAAATGAAAGTGTTTCAGACAGATCTAAAAAAAAAGCTCCACAAATGAATGCAGTTACATATTTATTTAATAAAAATTTATTTTAAAGACAACTGATATAAATATATTAGTTTGAATTGGTTTTGTAATCCCTAGACCAGTAGCACTCAGATTGGAAGGGGGCAGAGCCAGAGAAGGCCTGGGAGCTTTTGTTCGAAGGCTGGGTTCACACCTGAGCAGTTTTTTTATGCTCGTTTTTCAGCTAGTTTTTTTTGAGTTTTTTCATTCAGGGAAACGCGCGTTTCACTGGCGGTATAATGTTTTTTGTTTTTTTTCCTTTTATTTTCTCTAAAAATATATTTATTTATTTTTTAGGGACGGAACCCGGAAGTCGGCAGCCGCCGAAGACACAGCGGGGATCGCGGACAAGGTAAGACCTGTACACTGTATTCCCGAGTGTGGCTCGGGGTTACCGCTTGGTTAACGTCGATCCACACTCGAATACCAATGGCAACGCGCGGCAAAACGCCCCAAAGAAGCTACTGTACTTCTTTGGGCGTAGGGCGTTTTGCAGCGCGTTCCTACGCGCTGTAAAACGCCTAGGTGGGAACCATGCCAATAGGCAATAATTGTTTTTCACATGTTGAGCGTTTTACAGCGTGTAGGAACGCGCTGTAAAACGCCCAGGTGTGAACCAGGCCTCCGAGGCAAATACAGCCAACAGACCTTCTCATGGTAAGGGCTATTTGATTGGTGGCCATGGTGTAGATGGGTGTTGTGTTTATAGAACCTGGTTTATTGTAACCCACCATTTTATTCATATATACAGTATGTATTGATATATATAGTATATACTCTTAGTGGGGGATTTAAGAGATGGATTGTAAAATACTTTTTACGAGCTGTACAAGATGCCTCCTGCTCTATGAATGATTTCTGAACAGTTAGCCATATAGTGCCGAAGACCTGTAACTTACTGCAGGCCCTGTTCTGATTGAGAAGTAAATTGGGTTGTATCACTACTCATGGCTACCACACCTGCATATGTTCTGGATGGCAAATGCCCCTCTACTTCCCAGCCCAGTTCTACCCTATGCAGGGCAAGGCGGGCAGTCCTATATCCATATGCTAACAGAAGAGAACAGAGAGATTACAGTAATTAGTCTGTTGCTTCTCTTTCACTGAACAACAAAAGTACTTAAAGAACTCAGCCAGGTTATGGCAAGACCATTAATCATAATTTTCAAGGACTCCTTAATGACTGGTAGAGTACCAAGTGACTGGCAGAGGGCTACGGTAGTACCGATATTCAAAAAAGGTTCAAGATGCCAACCTGGGAACTACAGACCAGTCAGCCTTACATCCATAGTTTGCAAACTGTTAGTGGGAATGATAAAGGACTACTTAGTAGAGTTTGTTCATGATAATGGTATAATAAATTACAAAAAGCATGGATTAAGGAAGGACCGTTCATGCCAGACCAACCTCCTAACATTCTACCAAGAGGTAAGTAGAGATCTGGATGGAGGGAGGCCGGTGGATGTGGTATATTTGGATTTTTAGAACATATTTGACACAGTACCTCATAAACGCTTACTACACAAGGTGAGGTCTATGAGCATAGATGAAATGGTGTGTACATGGATAGAGAACTGGCTACAGGAACGTATCCAGAGAGTATCGATAAATGTCTCCTTTTCAGATTTGTCTAGGGTCATGAGTGGCGTGCCTCAGGGTTCTGTGCTAAGCCCCATACTATTCAACCTGTTTATTAACGAAATTGGGGAGGGCGTGAATAGCCATGTTTCCGTGTTTGTTGATGATACTAAAATCGGGAGGGTAATAGACACGGACTTAGACAGTAGAACATTACAGGAGGACCTGGATAAAATAGGGGAGTGGGCAACTATATGTCAGATGAGGTTTAATGTCGATAAATGCAAAGTAATGCACTTTGGAATTAAAAATAAACAAATGGGTTATACAATTATGGGTATGCCGCTGGGGAAGTCAGAAATGGAAAAAGATTTGGGGGTCATAGTAGATCACAGATTGAATAATAGCTTGCAATGCCAGGCTGCTGCAAACAAAGCGAGCCGAGTTGCGGCTTGTATTAAAAAGGGAATTTACTGTAGAGACAAACCTATAATTTTACTTTATAGATCGCTGGTTAGACCTCACCTGGAGTACGCGGTCCAGTTTTGGTCACCAATACACAGAAAGGATGTCCTTGAGCTGGAAAGAGTCCAGAGAAGGACAACCAAACTAATTAAGGGGATGGAGGACCAAAGCTATGAGACAAGGTTACTAAATTTAAACATGTTCAAGCTGGAAGTGAGGAGATTAAGAGTGGATATGATTTTGATGTACAAGATGTTAAATGGTGATAGCAACATGAGCAATAAACTTTTTACGATAAACTCCATAACAAAGACTAGAGGCCACCACCTAAAATTGGTGGAGAAAAGATTTCAGCACAAGGGGCGCAGGAGCTTCTTCAAAGTTAGAGCAGTTAGGGTTTGGAACTCGCTGCCGCAAGCCGTGATTTCAGCTGAGAGTGTGGAATGATTCAAAAAGCATTTGAATGATTTCCTCAGAGACTGTAACATTCAGGGGTACAGGTACTCTTAAGAACAAGCTCACACAGTGACTCATACACATGCAGAATCGCATGCATACACGCAATGGGTTGAACTTGATGGACCTGTGTCTTTACTCAACCTCAAATACTATGTAACTATGTAACAAAGGCTGGGAGCCAAAAGGTGACTTAGTTGTGTTTGAACACATTGATATTAAAGTCAAAAGGTTTTTAAACTATTTCAAATGATTAAATGACTTACAATCAGTTATGCTTCTTGATGTTTAAAAGTTTTAGTTTCCTGCAGAACCAGCTGGTCCCGTGACCACTGGCCTTGATCTCCTGTTTAGGGTGGCTTATTTCCCTTGCAGGGTCCTATGGAGCCACCCTTGTGTGTGCTATTAAGTGGTGTCTCACAACAAACGCACAGACTAGGGATGCACCGATACTAGTACTTCCCGGCTAATCGGGAAGCTGGGCGGCGAGTCAATACACACCGCCCGGCTTCCTTAATGGGACTTCCGGTACCGGTATTCGGTATCAGTGAGTAAGAAAAATATATCTGTACTCGTACTTTTATACCGGTGCATCCCTTACACAGACTCCCAGTCTCAAGCTGTAAAAGCTACAGTAACAGAACCTGTTTTCTCTTTCATCCTACATAAACAGCAAAAAGAAGAGTAAAACTGAAGTGTGTGTCTGTGTGTGTGTCGATTTTAAGTTCATATATGACCATTGGCCCGATTAAAAGTTATTAATACATTTTCCCCTTTTTGTTTTTGTTTTTACTGAAGGTGAAAGACACATATTTCCATCTGGTAAACACAAGCTTCCATTTAGTTTCCAACTTCCTACAGGGTAAGTAGTGTTTTCTGTAAAAAGAGGATCGTTTTTAAACATTTGTGTATTTAACTTTTCTCAGCGCTTTACCATTCTCATTCTTATATCCGGTGTCAGCTACTCTCTTCTAATGTCACTTTAAGGTCAGTTAAATGACTGAGTTACACATTTAATTACTGAACTATTTTTGTTTTGTTTATTGATTCGCACAAATAGTTTTTAGGCGATCCGTTTAGCAACAGAAGTGCAGCTTTTTGAACAGTTGAAATGACTCATCTGTTGCTCTGCTCTGTTTCATGAAGGAAATAATCCGTATTTTCAAGATATATAGGCTGGTAGCTTAGTCTCGGCTGTCCCTTTTTTGGAAGGACAGTACCTATCTTAGAAACTATTACCTGTCAGAAGTATTTGCACTGATCTTAAAGTGACACTGAGGGCCCATTCACACCACATCCAGATCATCTCCAGACCAGACCAGATTGTTCCCAGACCCAAAATGCATCCTATGCTATTTCAGGCCTCTATTCACATCAGCGCAGTCCATTCCAGACCAGAAAAATACTGCATGTCTCATTTTGTCTGGTCTGGAATGCACTGGAACTGCGGCAGGCTCACGCCATTTTCTGGACCAGATCTGTTCCCGAAAATTGTGTGAACCTGCCTTGAATCTAAATGACACTAAGTTAAATCTTTAAAATGCATTCAAGTACCTTTTAACCAGTTGACATCCGCGGTGTTAAACCCCGTTCCCATCCAGGCCATTTTTCAGTATTCAGCGCTGCGGTACTTTGACTGACATTTATTCCGTCATGCAACACTGTACTGAAATGAATTTTATACACTTTTTTGGGAACAGATAGAGCTTTCTTTTGGTGGTATTTATTCACCACTGGGGTTTTTATTTTTTTACTATATTAAGGAAAAATTACCGAAATAAAAAAAAACAGTTTCCCCTATATTACATGATAAAACATTTATTACCCAATTTTTTGAAAAAATATAAAAGACGGGGTCACGTCGGGTAAAAAGACACCAAACATGTCAAGCCTTAAAATTGCGTGCGCGCGCGAAACCTCAAAAAACGATAATACCCAAAATTGGCCATAGGCGACGCTTTAAAAGCT